CCTCCCAGCATCGCCCCCGCAATCCCTGTGCCGGGAGGAGGAGAAGGGAAAGGAGGAAGAGCAGCCGGGGGAGGTGATTAACTTTATTTCTCCTGAAACTCGGTTAATAGGATTTTCTCAGGGGCTGGCAGCCAGCGAGAGCAGCTGGCAGGGAGTGATCGCAGGAATCTGCAGGAATGCAGGGGCTCAGCCAGACCCCAGAGCCTTTTGGGGTGCCCCTGGCTGGTTGGGGTCCCTGGCACAGCATAGCCAGTGGGCACAGGAGCGGTAACCGTGTTTAGGGTTATCCTCCCTGGGTATCTTTGTTTCTCACCCAGAAATGCCTCCTCAATTTGGGCTGTTTTGTGTGAGCTGAGCATGGAGACCCCATTCAAGGGAAGGCAGCATCCCTGCTCTGGGCAGTGTAAGGTCCCTGTGCTGAGCCCTGCTGCGCCCTGACCCCTGCCCCACGCCCCGAGGTCTCTTTGGATGTGTTTCAGAATCTGCTCATGCCTCACCTCCTCATTACACCACCGAACTCTTGCTATTCCTCCTCAGAGGCCCCCAGGGGTGGTGTTGGGCTGCAAAGCCAGACAAGCCCAGTGTCCCCAGTGTCCCCAGTGTCCCCTTGGCCCTGCCCAGCCCACCACGGTCCCCCCAAACCCCCAGCCCGTGCTTGGTGCCACTAGATGGCATTTGAGCACTGCACACCCACCGGCACCGGGAGCTCCTTAATCCTCCTTACAAAACCCTCCTGGTTTCCCTTTCATCTCCAAACCTCATCACCCACACGAGTTCAATTTCTCTTCCAAGGGACAGAAAAGCACCAAGCCAAAATAAACCAAAAATCTGGTTAAAAACGGGGAGCAAGCCCAAAAACTGCAAAGCAAGTTGGGTGGATTTTTCTTTTTTTTTTTTTTCCTGTTGAGATTATTTCCTATGGAAAATGTGGCTTGGGTTGTCCCCAAAGGACTTTTTTGGGCTGTAAGAAAAAATGAAAAGCCCAGGTTTTGCAGAGGTCTTGCAGCAGCCTCCAGGGAGGGGCATCCCATGGTGGTAGAAAATTCCAGCTGTTTAAATGGATGAGCAGCTGGAGCAGCCAGGTGGATGCTGTGCCACTGCTGCAGGTGGGAAAACAGACAAGCTTGAGAAATGATGCTTCAGGTGCAACCCGGGGGGACTATAGAAGAGGAATTTTAACCAAATCTGGCTTATTCTGCCAAGATTGTAGAGAGGGGTATAAAAGAGGGATGGGCAGTGCTAATACACCACTGCCTCAGCTTTCTGTTCTCTCCCCATTCAAGGGGCACCAGTGACCCCTCCACCCACTCAGCTGACCCTCAGGAAAACTCCTCCCAAAATAATACACTGGAATGGGAGAAAAAAGCATAAGGATAAAGCTCCCAGGCTGGAAAAAACAGCTGAGACCCCCAAAGAGCATCCCCCAGCCAGGCATTTCCAAAGCAAGGATTGCTGGCTCTCCAGAGAACAATGGCACTGAGAAAAAGGGGCAGCAGCAGCTCTTGGAGACATTATTGGAGACATTATTGGAGAATTATTGGAGACACCAATAATTCCTCAACTGCTGGGGCATTTCCCCACAAGGAGCACCCACCCATCCTCCCCACAGCCACCCCGTTTGCTGAGCAGGATGCAGAGAAAGAGGACTATTTATCTTTTTTTCCTTTTTCTTTCAGTTGTTTATTTTCAAGCTCCAAAAGGGGTATTATTGTAGAGACAGGAAAAATAACAACTGGAAAGCTGTTCTCATGGGGTAGAGACAGTGTCCCTTGAGGATGGACAGGGCTGATGGCTGAGGAGGCAGCAGCAGCTCTGGTGCAGGGACACCGTGCACCCAGGACCCCCTCACCATGGGAAAGCTGCTCAGTGACAAACCCATGGCACCAGCTCTGCCTTTCTGAACCACATGTCCACCTGCTCTTTTATTTTCCCCACATCCAGATCCCAATAAAAGCAATAAAACTCCCACTGAAAGCCGGGAGCCAAGGCATGGGGTGCAGGCTGTGGGTTGAGCACCTGCAAAGCTGGACAGGCTTTTTTGCTCTCTAAAGAAACAGGAACCAGCTCCTTCAGAAGGTAAAATCTGTGTGTTCCGCCCTCCCCAAACAGTGCTTTAAAGGCTAAAGATGTCCCTGCACCCCCTAAAGAGGCTGCACAGAGGCCATTGGGTTCTCATCCTGGCTCTGCCCCTGCAACCTTTGGCCACAGGCAAGGAGTCAGCAGGGGACAAAGCCAATCCCTGTCCCGGGGCTGTGCTGGGACACCCAGAGGCAGCACTGCAGGGTACAAGGAGCACGTCCCACATCCCAGCTCCTCTCAGGGGATGCTGTGCTCAGAGTGGACACACAAAGCCCAGGGAGCTGGAGCAAGCTGTCTATGGAAACCTCCCAGGAGCCAAGCGTTTTAATTTATCATCATCATCATCGTTTCTTTTCTTTTTCCTGCTGCCCAAAGGGTATTTGTTCCACGTGCAGTGGTCCCACGGTGTCCTGCCACTCCTGCTCTGCCCCCAGAGCACCCAGGGCGGTGGGACGGGGTCGCTTTTCTTGGCGAGGCGCTTTTGGCTTCCACGATCACACAAACTGTAACAAGCTTTACAAGGAGACACTGGCAAGTCCCAAGGTTTGGCAGCAACCTTTCTCAGTGTGGGCAGGAGGCTATGCCATCCCCTCCTCCTCCATCATACGTGTCCTTCAGCCTCTTCACCTTCAGCACCAGCAGTTTTGGGTCCTTTTCCACACGCCGCCTTCTCCGCTGCTTT